AAATGCTGGCATCATTTGAGGCCTGTGTTGTGATTATTTAAAAAGGAACACAGTTAAGATTTCCTTTTGCTGATGTAAGAATGCTCAGCTTCACCCTGCCTGAAGCAAAATGAAGCAATCACGTCAAATAGATTTCCAAGAGTGTAATTTTCATGCCTCCTACCTCCCTTCTCCGCCTGCCATAAAATAATCTATGCAGGATGGGTGTCCTGTAATTTTGGCCAGCCTAGCACAGAGAATATTTTGTTTTCAAGTTAGGTATGTGAGACTTGCAGCCTTAACTCCTTGGGGAAAAAATCATCCAGAGCAGTAGGCAGGCACCAAAACTGAGACCTACAGGACACAAAGGAGAGGGAGGACTGAGAGTGTGTTCCGCTCTGCACTTCGAAAACTGTTTTCAGTACCAGGAAAAGGTAAAGTTCCTCTTGACTTTACAACTTTATTAAAAGGATTGCCTCTTATTAGGCAAAACAATCTGCCTTCCATATCCACAGATTCTGCATCCCTGGCTTCAATTACCCACTCTTTGAAAATCTTTAAAATAAAATCCAAAAAGCTAATCTTGATTTTGGCATTTTATAAATAGGATATCATTTTATTGCATCATACAATGGGACTTGGATATCAGTGGATTTTGGTATCCACAAGACATGCAGGAACCCAAATCCAGCAGATACCAAGAACCCATTGTAATCATACAATTCACAGCCTTCCATTCAAATTTCTATCTTCTTTCGTTGTTTCAGAATAAAAAAACCAGTGCTGTGGATTGCAACTTCCAAATCTCCCACCAAAGATGGGAATGCTGGCAGGAGTATACTGGTTTTGTCCATTATCGGCCTGAGGAAAAATGTTTGAGAAGTGTCAGAAGGAATTCACCAAGCCAGCTAATTTCAAACACTTTGTTAGTTGCTTATCTGTTGTGTTGAGATCCAAAGCACAACAGGGGAGAGCAAAGAAGAATGTGAAACAACCCTAATTCGACCCTTTCAATCCCTTTGTACTGTCTCCAAGTCTTGGAGAGACTCAAGTTTGGTTAAAACTAAGGGCACATCTACATTGGCAGTATTATCCAGCTTGGAACCATTTTGAGGGGAACTGGTTTCACTGTGTGGGTGATTAGATTGACAAGTCTAGAACTGGTTTGAGTTCAAGAAGTTGATTACATTAACCCTTGAACCTGGCCTCAAACAGCTGTGCATATTCTCTTTCCCATTTCCCAGACAGATGCGTTTCAGTGCTCTGGAGGTATACGGGATTAACAACAAGAAAATATGAATTAGCAGCAGAAATTATCCATTCCCCCACCCCACCCCCCAGCTGCCCAGCCATTTTCTTGGGACATTTTTTTGGCAGTTTCTGTTTGGGATTCTTCATTGTGCACCTACAATGCATTCTGCATTTTGTGGAGTCAATTTGGCTCTGGATCTATGATATACTGGGGCCAGCAGCAGCACATTATATGGCTTCCATCAGACTTCCTTGTGCCATTTTCTGTTTAATCCATGCTGCAGTACACATTGGTGGTGTGGATTTTGTGGCTGCTGCAGCCTGGTGTTCGCTTTGAACTGCACTACAGGGAATCCGTGAGTCACAAACATCCAACTTACACAGGACTAGGAAGGGAAATTCTCTTCTCTAAGAGTTATCCTGGGAAAAAGGTATCTCTACTAGAGCTTTATCACCAGTCCTTGTTTCCACAATAACTGAAAACTTTCAAAATCAATTGTCACAGAGATGGAAAGTGTTCAATCTTTTGAACAGGGACAAAGACGGCAAAACAAATTTTACTGGGGTGTTAATCCTTCCTTATGCTATCCAAAACTTAACAAAAATGTCTGAAGTTACACATAAAAATGTACCTGGAGTTCCGAAAAATTCAACTCAACAAACCTATGTTTGGCATAAGAGGGCAAAGAGTGTATGGAGAGGATTATATGGGAGAAGATAACCTGGACTCAAACAATGTGGGATTTTAAAGGTCACAACCAGCATTTTGTGCCTTGTATACACATAAATAGGCAATGAATGATCCATCTTAATTATTATGTAATATGATCACTCCAGATGTGCCAATAACCAATCTAAATGCCATGTTTTAAAGTTTCTGAACTTGGTACAGAGGTCCCACAATGTACAGCACCTTGCAGAAACCCAGCCTTGAGATAACCAGGATGCCAGGGGCTTCCAACTCATTTTCATTGAAGGCCACATCAGCCTCATGGTTGCCTTCAAAGGGTCACTGAATCCATGGACAGTGAATCCATGGATATAGGGGGCCAACTATAATTTCTTTAAACATTGGTTGGTGCCCTTTAGTTTTTACCCACTTTGTATCCCCAGACATTACTGAACAACAACTCTGATCAATATTTGTTATCCACGCTGCAGACTGGGGAGAATGGGAATTACATCCCAATAGCACTTGTGGCTCTGAGGTTGGTGAAAAGGTCAGGGAAATATTAAAGTCAGATGTCACATCCACAAGCCTTGTATCTAAATTCAAACCCCACTATCTGGACTAAACAGAACTGAAGACTTCCAAATGTTACTGTGTCACAACTCCCATCAGCTGTAGCCATGATGCCTAATGATGATGCACATAAAATGATACGGATGACTGGATTTGGGCTTTGGGCAACGGGTTTGAACAGTGCCAGACTGAGGACAAATGAGGCCCTGTGCTAGTTAAGTTATGAGGCCCCTTATTTTTTTGGAAAACTAGAATCTCCATAACCCTTTGGAGAAAAATGGCATTCACAACCATTTGAAAATCATAACCTTTTGTAAAAGTATGATCTTCCAGAGAAGAGCCAAAAAAACTTGTTTGAGTAAAATCTTCTCTTTAGTGGTATATATATCCACATGTACTTATGCAAGGCAATTTGGTTTTCAGTTGTTAGATTGATAACCTGGTGGTAGGATATAAATAAAGTTGTTGTTACTAATATTATTATTATTATTATTATTAGATACATAACAAGATTAGTATACAGCAAACAAGATCACTGTGCTGGCTTTTGTATTTGGTCACACATCGGACACTTCCCAAGTGGGCCCCGGTCAAGAGGACCCCAGTCTAGTGGGCCCTATTCAAGTGGGCAATGGTAATGTGGGCCCTGGTTAAAGGGGTCCCTGTTGAAGTGGGCCCTGGTCAACGCGGGCCCTGGTCAACGCGGGCCCTGGTCAAAGTGGGCCCTGGTCAAGTGTTCCTTGGTCAAAGTGGTCCCTGGTCAATTGGTCCCTGGTCAAAGTGGGCCTTGGTTAAGTGGGCCCTGGTCAACTAGGCCCCGGTCTAGTGGGCCCTGCTCAAAATGGTCTCTGGTTAAATGTGCCCTGTTCAAGTGGGCAATGGTAATGTGGGCCCTGGTCAAAGTTGGCCCTGGTTAAAATGGTCCCTGTTGAAATGGGCCCCAGTCATGTGGGCCCTAGTTAGAGTGGGCCCTGGTCAGTGTGGGCCCTGGTCAAAGTGGGCCCTGGTCAAGTATTCCTTGGTCAAAGCGGTCCCTGGTCAATTGGTCCCTGGTCAAAGTGGGTCCTGGTTAAGTGGGCCCTGGTCAACTAGGTCCTGGTCAAGTGGGCCCCAGTCAAAGTGGACCCTAATCAAGTGGTCCCTGGTCTAGTGGTCCCTGGTCAAAGTGGTCCCTGGTCAACTGAGCCTTAGTCAAAGTAGGCCATGGTCAAGTGGTCCCTGGTCAAAGTGACCCCTGGTTAAGTGGCCCCTGGTCAACTGGCCCCTAGTCAAAGTGGGCCCTGGTCAAGTGGTCCCTGGTCAAAGTGGCCCCTGGTCAATTGGTCCCTGGTCAAAGTGAGCCCTGGTTAAGTGGTCCCTGGTCAACTGGGTCCTAGTCAAAGTGAGCCCTGGGCAAGTAGTCCCTGGTCAATTGGTCCCTGGTCAAAGTGAGCCCTGGTTAAGTGGCCCCTGGTCAAAGTGGCCCCTGGTCAACTGGGACCGGGCCAAAGTGGTCCTTGGTCAAGTGGTCCCTGGTCAATTGGTCCCTGGTCAAAGTGAGCCCTGGTTAAGTGGTCCCTGGTCAAAGTTATTCCTGGTCAACTGGGCCCTGGTCAAAAGTGGGCCCTAGTCAAAAAAAGGTTGGGTACCACTGCTCTAGTCTGAACAAGTGGGAAAAACCTCTGTGGAGTTGAAATACATGAGAAGATGATGATTAGAGAGGAGATTCGGCGTGTGGGCTAAGAAGGCAGTCTTCTCTAGCCTTCAAGGTGCCAGATGTCCGCAGCCCTCTGAAGGGGTCCTTTCTCCTGGCCCTTTCAGAGAAGGGGGACAAGGAGGTCCCGCCGCGCTGGGACAGGAGGCAGCGTGGAGAGGCCAGGGTCTGCCTCTGTGTCGCGGCGGTTGGGCCGGCCACCCCTCCCCTCTCTCCCCCCAAGCAGACACGCAGGCAGACGCCCCCGGAGCCGCATTCCCTTCGGGAACAATCGCGCCAGCCGCCCAGCAACAGAGCAGAGCCAGCGGCACTCCGGAGCCCGCAAAACAAAGCCAGGGGACTCCTCCCCCTTCGCCCCTTCTCCTTCCCTCCCTCCCCCTCGTTTTCCTTTCCCTCTCTCTCTCTCTCTCTCTCTCTTCGGGAGAGCATCCCCTTCGGAGGGAGCGGGCCAGATCGGGACGGGAAACTCCGCCGAAGCAAGCCGAGCCAGCACCAGAACAACACAAGACGAAGAAGGAGTCGAAGGGGAGGCGAGGCGAGGGACCGCCTCCCTGCACCCTCCGCCCGCCTCCGCTGCCTGTCCTTTCTCCGGGCGCCAAGGAGGCACGGGCGCCTTCTCCCTTGTCCCCTCCAGCGGATGGCGCGCCTCGCAGGGAGAGAAGCCCTTCCTGGCCTCGGGGCTGGCGGCTCCCCGGAGGGCTGCCCACGCTGGACCTGACATGCGGAGGCAGTGCCGCTCCTCTTCCTCCTCCTCCTCCTACCTGTGCCTCCGACTCTGCCTGCTCTTCCTCCTCCCCCTGCTGCTCCCGACGGCGCGGACTCGGCCGCTTCTCGGGCCATGTTTCTCCCGCTCCTGTCCGCCTTGTCTCTGGGGCTGGTCTCCCTCCCGCAAGGCCCTCTTTCCAGACCCATCCTGGGCGTCGCTCGCCTCCTGACCGCGCTGGCCCCGGCCTGGGGGCAACCAAGTAAGTCTGGCCCTTCAATCCTGCCTCCTTCTTGTTTCCCCTGGAACTCCGAGGATGCACCTGACCCTGGGAGCATCCACGCGGGTTGAACACCACTTGGAACTGCCGGGGCTCCTCAGAGTGTGGACCAGACATGGGCAAACTTCAGCCCTCCAGGTGTTTTGGACTTCAACTCCCACAATTCCGGTAGGCTGGGTTGTTGTAGGTTTTTCGGGCTGTATGAACATGTTCTAGAAGCATTCTCTCCTGACGTTTCGCCTGCATCTATGACAGGCATCCTCAGAGGTCCTCGCCAAAGACCATCAGAAAACACATTATTTTTGTTGGTCATAGGGTTTCTGTGTGGGAAGTTCGGCCCAGTTGGGGTTCAGGATGCTCTTTGATTGTAGGTGAACTATAAATCCCAGCAACTACAACTCCCAAGTGTAAAGATCTATTTTCCCAACTCCACCAGTGTTCACATTTGGGCATATTGAGTATTTATTAGAGTAGGATCAGAGTAGGATCATAGCCAGAGGGATCACGAACAGCAGGCTTTTTCAACCTAGGGGTCAGGACCCCTGGGGGGGTCACAAGGGGGTGTCAGAGGGGTCACCAAAGACCATCAGAAAACACAGTATTTTCTGTTGGTCATGGAGATTCCGTGTGGTAAGTTTGGCCCAATTCTGTCGTTGGTGGGGTTCAAGGGGCTCTAAGTGAACTATAAATCCCAGCAACTGTAGCTCCTAAATGTCAAGGTCTATATGCCCAAACTTCACCATTGTTCACATTTGGGCATATTGGGTATTTATGCCAAGTTTGGTTCAGACCCATCATTGTTTGAGTCCACAGTGCTCTCTGGATGTAGGTGAACTACAACTCCAAAACTCAAGATCAATGCCCATCAAACCCTTCCAATATTTTCTGTTGGTCATAGGAGTTCTGTGTGCCATGTTTGGCTCAATTCCATCATTGGTGGGCTTCAGAATACTTTTTAATTGTAGGATAACTATAAATCCCAGAATCTACAGCTCCCAAATGATAAAATGAGGACAGTAAATAAAAAACAACACTCAAAAAACAGGGGAAATCCACACGAATCAATCAGGGCCAGCTAACACCTCCCAACAAATGATCCCCATGCATCAATCAGTGAGGCTTTGAAGCTGCAAGGCCATTAAATGCTAATCAAGGCATCCAATTTCAACATTCACACTTGCCTCAGGCAGTCAAGAGTTCTTTCTCCCACCCTGGACAATCCACAGATATATAAACCTCACTTGCCTAGTTTCCAACAAACCTCACAACCTCTGAGGATGCCTGCCATTGGTGTGGGTGAAACGTCAGGAGAGAATGCTTCTGGAACATGGTCATGCAGCCCAGAAAACTCAGAGCAACCCAGTGATTCCAGCCATGAAACCTTTGACAACACAAGAACCATTGTCTGTGAAACAAGTGTAAAGAGTGTAATTGTAAAGAGTGCAAGTAACAAGCTAGATTTTAAGTGCCTGACTTGCCAATTGCATCCTTTACACTTGTTTAACATTTGTCCTGAAGATTCCAGCCACATATGCAAGCAAAACGTCAGGAGAAAGGGCTGCTACAAAATGGTCATACAGCCCAGAACCCACACAACACCCCAGTGATTCCAGCCATGAATAGTATTGAATGTTCTTGCAGTTTCAAAGCCTGGCTGCTTCCTGCCTGGGGAATCCTTTGTTGGTGCTGCTAGCTGGCCCTGATTGTTTCATGTCTGCTATCTGAGTGTTGTTGTTTGTTTACTGTCTTGATTTTAGAGTTTTTAAATATTGGTAACCAGATTTTGTTCATTTTCCTGGTTTCCTTTTTTCTATTGAAATTTGTCAAAGGATTTCCCCAGGCAGGAAGCAGCCAGGCTTTGAAGCCGTAAGACCATTCAATGCTAATCTAGGTAGCCAATTGCAACATTCACACCTGCCTCAAACATACAAGAGTTCTTTCTTCCACCCTGGACATTTCACAAATTATAAACCTCACTTTCCTAGTTTCCAACAGACCTCACAACCTCTGAGGATGCCTGCCATAGATGTGGGTGAAATGTCAGGAGAGAATGCTTCTGGAACATGGCCACACAACCTGGAAAACTCACAGTAACCCAACACTGGGTTGAATAGCTCCATCATCATGCAGGTTTCTTTCCCAGAGATTTTAGAGATCAAAATTGGGATATTTTGCAAGTGTTTTGTCTGATCTAGAGCTTGAGAAAGTTATTTTGGATCACAACTCCCAGAATCCCCCAGGGGCTATACTGCCTGGAGGATTCTAGAAGTGTGACCCAACAAAGTAACTTTCCAGTGTATGGTCCCGCTCTGAAAGAAGCTGACTTTACACTGAGTCAGAACATTGATCCATCAAAGTCATCATAGTTCCTTTAGTGAGTGGCAGCCACTTTTCAGGGTTTTCTACAGGTTTCTTTCCCAAAGATGTCAAAGCTCAAACCTGGGAACTTTTGCAGGTTCACCTATGACCCTTCCTGTGATTCTGTGCAGCATTGAGTTTTCTGTATGTAGCTGTCTGTAAACAGTGGCTGTATGATCATCTTTTGAGGATGCTTTGATAGTGTATTCCTGCACAGCAAGGGGTTGGACTGGATGATTCTTATGGTCTCTTCCAGCTCTTCTATGATTCGATGACAATCCTCCCATGAATATCCCTTTACTGCATCCAGTGAAACTGCCTCCAACTACAATAATAAATGTAAGATTTTAAGGTGTCAATTGACTTCAGCAGATTCTTGTGACAGTCTAGTAAGAACAATGGGGAACACAGTCTGTGCCAACACAGACAAGTGTAATAAGTTCTTTCAGTCGAGAGTATGCAGTTATTCTCACATTAGATGGAGTGAAGCCTAGCAGAGCAGCTATAAACAGGACGAGAGTGTTAGATTTTTCCATTAGATTTATTGAGCTCGTTGCTGAGCCAAAATCTCTGAGAGTTAATGAGCAGTTGTTTCACCTTTTCTCTCCCCCTCTCTCTCTCTACTCATCCCTGAAATAATAATAATAAAGGAAGCATTGCAATAAAAGCCTGGGTGGAGTGCTGTAGAAATAGTTGCTGCTCGTTCAGTTCCAGAGACAGAAAATATGTAGGTGATATTTGGATTGGACCAGGCTTTGCTAACAAGAATATACATGCTTTCACATTAGACAGTATTTGTCATGGAGCAGAATGGAAAGGCAAGTTAAATCTTGGCAATGCACAGAGCACGATTAGTCGTTCATAGAAACACTTTAGTCACTTGTAGTGCTGAAAATGTCACTTTTGGAGAGCTAAAATTTCCAGAATTTAAATACAACCAATAGAGGTTAGACAGCTGATTAACTAAAGCCATATTTTAAGTGTTCTGTTTTCTAAAGTCATGGTCATCCTGAATTGTACTTTGAAATGTTGCATATCTATATTTTATACAATATGTAGGTAATAAGGTAAAGGTTTTCCCCTGACATTAAGCCCAGTTGTGTCCGACTCTGGGGGTGGTGCTCATCTCCATTTCTAAGCCAAAGAGCCGGCGTTGTCCGCAGACACCTCTAAGGTCATGTGGCCGGCATGACTACATGGAGCACTGTTACCTTCCCGTCAGAGCGGTACCTGATGCTCTACTTACATTTGCATATTTTCGAACTGCTAGGGTGGAAGAAGCTGGGGCTAACAGCAGGAACTCATGCCGTTCTCTGGATTTGAACCGGCAACCTTTTGGTTAGCAAGTTCAGCAGCTCAGCGCTTTTATCCACTGAGCAACCAGGGATAATGTGGAAACAAAGTGTGATTTAGATACAAGAGAACACATGTTTAAAGTTGCTGTTCAGATCTGTACAATCTGTCAAAAATGCCACTTCTGTTTTTGAAAAAAATGTATTTTTATATTAAAGAGCACAGGTTGCTCTGTTTAAAACAGTGGGTACCAACCTTTTTTTTTTTTTTCTTTGACCAGGGAGCACTTTGACCAGGGAGCACTCTCCAATATTAGTACCAAAAGGGTTATAAATCAGTTTTTGGTCAACTTCAGATTTGGCTTAGTTATTTGGGACGCTGATCCAGAAAATTGCATGAGATAGACCACATCAGCTCTAGTTTCCGATACAGAACATATGCCATCCAGTAGTCACTATCTGCTCACCCACAGAAAACCATATTTAATAATCTAGAGCTGATGTGGTTTAAAAAGGTAAAGGTTTCCCCTGATATTAAGTCTAGTCATGTCCAACTCTGGAGGGTGGTGCTCATTTCCATTTCTAAGCTGAAGAGCCGGTGTCTGTACATGCCTCCAAGGTCATGCGGCCAGCATGACTGCATGGAGCACCATTAATTTCCTGCAGAAGCAGTACCTATTGATCTCACATTTGCATGTTTTTGAACTGCTAGGTTGGCAGAAGTTGGGCCTAACAGCAGGAGCTCACCCCACTCCCTGGATCTGAACTGCCGACGTTTCAGTCAGTAAGTTTAGCAGCTCAGTGGTTTAACCAACTGTGGCATCAGGTGCTGATTTTCTGAATCAGCACCCCAAATAACCCCAGGAACAGATCTAAAAATGAAGACACCAAGGTGCCCCTACTTCCAGGTGCCACATGGAATGGCTCCGCTCAAGGGGAGGGAGGGAGGAGAAGCAGCAGTCAGGAGGCTTGTTGTCACACCTTTCATGGGTAATCACCCTCTTCCCTTCAGACATCTCAGTTGCCTCGGTACTATTAGAGGGTTTCATGAGACCAGTCACTCTTGTTATAACAGTGTAGTATCGGTGATGTTGTGGACCATATTTAGTTCTTGGGGACCACTGATCTAAAGTGTGACCTTCTACTCCTGAGGGTTTCTAGAAGAAACTCACCCTCAACCCCATAATCTTGGTGGTGCACCTGTAAGTGACAAATGAATGGGGTCCTAGAGCAAATTAATTTTGAATTATCTTTCAAAGTTGAGATAACTAAACCAAGACTGTCATACTTTGGTCATATCATGAGAAGACCTGACTCACTCAAAAAGACAAT